AGAAGATGTGGTCGTGCATAAACTCAGAGAGGAAAATTCTGAGCAGAACAAGCCTTACAGAGCCATCACCTGGAAACTCATTCAGTCGAGGTGAAAGGCAAGCAGACGTTTTAACAGGCCTGGCAAAAGTTTACGGTACCATACCATTTGCCAAGCACGAGCAGAATAGAAACAACGGACAGAAATGGCACGCTACCCCGTGCTCAAAGCTCAAGTCTGATAATAGTTGACTTCGTCGCACGATGGACGGATGTCCAGTGGAATACAGCAGAAACGACTTGTTAACCGAGGGTTTGGAAGAGCCCAAAACCCTCAGCTCAGATTGAACGCCGAACTGAAAAGGAAATTTGGAAGCATAGGACTAGAAATCTCACGAGACAGCTGACCGTAAGTATCGAATCTAAGCAATGGTGATCTTTAATCATCAGAAAGATCAGCCAATTATTGTTGATGTGTCCAACCTATGCCTCTGGCGTTTCTGCTCATTGGTCGCAGTTTCGAGTATACATAATTGTTCGTCTGACCGTGCCAATTTAAGGGCGTTTATTTGCACTACGCTTAATCCACGAAAGTCTGAAAACAGGACGTGGACAGGATATTGGAAATGTGCTTGTATCCTTCCCTTGAACACTGGTGAATTTGTAGTTATTTTATGGCAATACGTTTCAAGACTTTTCGCCGCTCATGAATCAAAATCAAGCAGACTCTACCTCGCTGAATTTCGAAAAACAGTCAAAAATAAGTCCGGATTTACAACGCTGGTGTGAGGGTAATTTAGATAATAAATTGCTTTGCATCTAGAACCCTAATACACATAGCTCTTCAGTGAAAGATTGAACACAGGAGATTTTTTTATGTACTACTTAGAAGGTGAACAAAATATCAGCCAGTCAGTTAGAAGACGGGGTGTGAATTTGGCTGGTTGCTTGACCGTAGATTGATTCAAAAATTTAGTTTCATTGACGTGATGTCCGTTGTCAAAATTATTGTTAAAAATAGCCCGTATAGCTAGGATCATCTGCTGCTGATAGCGCTGACAGTTAGAATAGAATTCTGCGTTTGTAATTGACTAATAACGTATGCACCTTAAGCTGTTTGTGGCAGTTAATGGAAATTTAGTTTCAAAGGATGAAAAGCATGTCCTTGTAAAGCGTCTGAACTCACCTTGTTATTAGAATTACTGAATTTAAAATACTTATCTGGGAATAAGACTTTTTTTGCATCTTCAAATTTACAGTCATTCGCGAATAACTCTGCGCCACTCTATGCAATTTCATTCTGCATCGAAATTATGAATATATCTAGAAAGAAGCCACAATTTGTGCTTGGTAAAACAAATGATGTTATGTGCCAAAAGCAGGATAAGTTATTCGCATGGATTCTCCTAGTAAGAAAAATATTCAAATTAATAAATCTTCCATCCTAACAGAGAAATAGTATGCATAATTTAATAGAGCGCAAATGTGTCACCCTAGCCACTGTACACTGAGTGAACTTCATTGAGTCCAATTTGCTGATTACAAGCTGAAGATCTGAAACATCGATAATATTAATGCCAAAAGTTATTAAATCAGTTTATTCGACGAACACAGAATCCAAAAATCTGAGATATTAATGATATGCTAAATTCTTAATATATGATATTATCAGATGTATTAGTTATTTCTATAACTGCTTATTACCAAAAGGAAATGATGATATTAATTAGACAGCAATATTCTGATATCTTCAGCGGTTTCCGCGTACAGTTCAAAATCTTTCCGACTGTGTGTCCATTGGCTGAATAAGCAACATTTTCCTTGTGCCATTTTTATCTTCAACCATCAGCAAAATGAAAGATTGCCAATTTCTTTTTAAGTAAAATTTTTATTTTTTTGTTAAGGTACTCTTACTGCACTAATTAAAGAAAAGGTAATTATCAGGAATGAATACCAAGACCACTCCTGACTTGTTATATTTCATTCGACTTTTCCGCTGTAGCCATCATTTGTTCATTTCAACAAATCTATTACTTTTTGGTCGATGGTGCCACTGTTTCAAATTATCTAATAAGCTGGCCTTCCGTCAAGGGGGAAGATGTATTAGTTGGATACCAATGTAGCAATATCACGTCTTCAGTATAATATAGCCTTATACTCTATGATCTGATCTATGGTCGTCTGCCACATGCTTCTGCCAAGAGTCTCTGCTACTAGTATCTCCTCTTGTATACACATCTAGGCTATGTCTACAGTATCTCTCGATTTAGAGAAATCGAGAATTACAGACGAGAGTATATCGGACTACCGTGTTCCAATGCCTGACGATCGTCGTCGCACTAGAAATCGTTCAAAGACTGCTTTTAAATTAAATTAAACGACAATTAAACTCTGATGATTTTCACGACTTCTCTCAGTCGATCATTGGGCTTCTTATGATGAATCTTTTATCTGTTGTCTTCCATAGGTCAATTGGCACCATGATTTCAAGTTGGTCACTCTTTGAGACTTAGTGCAAGTCTGATTGATAAATAACTGTTTTACACTCAGTACACCAATTGTCGAAGTTCACTACCTCTTGATTTTGTTACTGCATTTTTGCACACCTTGAAAATTTCACTTCCAAACATTCAGTCATCTCCAAGATGCTTTCTGCAGACACTTTAAATTCTGTTTTAGATGTTCAGTTCAAACACGACAATGAGCATTCCACAATGGTTCGACACGTCTTCCTTTCATCTTAGATTCATTTCATTTACCTTTCACTTTGTTGTCGATGGACAAAGCAGGTTTCCGGCCACTGACTCTACGTACTTGAAAAATCCTTAGTTTTGCATAACGATTTTGCAATATTATTAACATTTACACCATCGCTGTACATAAAGGAAAGCAGAATGTGCTTGTTTTGAAAGTTTGAACGCATAATCTGAGTAGAAACTTCAAATGATCAGGAAAAGAAACAAAATGCATCACTAGGAATTCACAGGCATAAAATGAACTGGTGATGGCGTTGTGAAAAAGTAGAACGGGAAGAAAGAATAAATCAAAAAATTAGCTGCTGTTTTATGTCCAGGGGACTAATTTTCATTCCGGCTGTATTTCACAGGGATGAAAAAATTTCGTATGAATGTACACAGCTGAAAGTTGCATAAAGAAACAAGTTTTGCTGAGCTTGAGCTACCAGCCTTCATTGGACAAAACGTTTGCAGTTGGATCACTTTCGTTAGTGACAGAATTCTGTATCCATCTGAAACACTGTCCATTGTGCAACCTACTGCTATATATACTTAAAGGCAAAGAATTTCTTCTCGATATTTCAGAGAGATGAGTGTTCATAAATGATCATTTATCAACACTTGAACTTTTAAATACCTTCAGCCTCGAGTTGAGGTGTTGTCAACAATGCCATATGTCATATGCTGGTTCTGACAACAGGTGATCGGTCCTTGAATGCTCTATTTTGAAACATTTCAACAATCGGGG